ATAATGAATGGAGGAATATGTGCATGCATTCCTGTAACAAATACATGCATACAATAGTGAGAAGCCGGGATTATTTTTGTTGAGTCTTCTATTGATACTTTCCCTGTAATTTGAGAATTCTAAAATATGGTTGAATCTAAATTTAATGTGCATGTATGTATGTATGTATGTATGTATGTATGTATGTATGTATGTATGTATGTATGTATGTATGTATGTATGTATGTATGTATTTATGTATGTATGTATGTATGTATGTATGTATGTATGTATGTATGTATGTATGTATGTATGTATGTATGTATGTATGTATGTATGTATGTATGTATGTATGTATGTATGTATGTATGTATGTATGTATTTATGCAAGTTTTAAAAAAAGATTGCATACATAACGTGAAGAAATAAACAGAAATACAAATATAAAGAACGATAGAAAACTAATGTTTCTTAACTTCACGCATATTTCATTTGTAGAGGTGAATTGAATGCATCAGACCGCTCTGTGAATTAAACTTTGAAATTGTCAGCCTCAGATACGGGAGGTCGCTGGTTCGAAACATGGCCGAGTCTTAATAAAAATGGTATTATCAGTTGTCTCGCTTGGCATTCAGCAATAAGAGGTTAGTGTTATGACTGGTCGGCCAGATGTCAGGATAATATGATTCGGAGGACATGATGCCACATGTCTGCGGCATGATTCTCCAGTGCTGAACATCACTCTAAACAGCCACGCTGCAGTCATTGCGGCGGGTATCACTGAACAAACTTGTTAAAACTAGGTTAAAAATCCAATCATACAAATACAGACAACACACTCTCACATTGACGTATGCATTATATTTATGTTTTAGTTGACGCATGCAGTATATTTTGTTTTAGGTGACATATGCAGTATATTTGTTTTAATCTTCGATTTTCTCCGACATGTTGCTTAAACATTAAGTTAAGGATATTTAGTTATTGATAATGGCAAACATATACCAATAACTAGTCGTGGTCATTACATTTAGATGTATTTTAGAATTACAGGGAAAGGATCAATAGAAGACTCAATAAGAATAATCCCTGCTTCTTACTATTGGTTTTGTTTCAAATTATTCAGATACCGAGTCCAGGGTTTAAAAAAATGCTAACTAAGCATCATCATTTTATCTTGTTTATTTTGTTTTCTTAGTGTCTATTTTCAGTGTGGATTTATATTGTTGTCTTGAATTTATTTACCTAAGTACACATACCAGGTACTCAGTCGTATATAATACAGCCATTACACAGCAATATGTGCATATCTGAAGAGCTGATAAATTTCAACTACTTTATTAATCATTCAAGAAAAATAAATGATGTAAAATCAAAATAAAATTTCAATATGTAAAATCGGTGTCTCTATAGAAATATATTAGTGAGCAAAATCTTATATATACTCACTGATTTTGTCCATCGTCCGTTTCAGGCTTTGAAATCATTTGGGACAATTCACACTGGAAGATACGTGCTAAGAGTTCATCAAAATCTTATCGCTTCATATGGAGAAATATACTAAATTTCAGTATATATTTTCTTCAATGTTATGGTCCCTCCTCTATTTTCCTACATTTAATACAATATGCAATGTATAATGGATGAATTTCTGTAACTGATTACTTAATTATACTTCACACTGATTTGTAATCCATATAAAATGGACATCAAAATTATTGTATCGATGTATCGTAACACTAAAACGATATTAAACATATGACTATTGACATTATGTATAAAACATAAGATAAAGGATAAAAACAAAATTACGATTTTACATTATTTTACTCTAATCTAAGCTCGCAAATGTATTTCAAGTGATATGGTGAAAAGAAAAAATAAACTTTGAGAATGGTGGAAATTCAGATGAATTTTAATCGTTATTAGAAGTAATTTAAATGTAGGTAGTGTTATCTCAAACTGTTATTTTCCACAAACGTTTATACGAGGTATTCAGCTTAAGTAACATTTATGTGTGGTAATCAAGTCTTAAAAACTTGGCTCCTCATCACAAATCACCCCTTCTGCTATTTTTGTCGTATTTAAAGAAGTCTCGAATGTATTTAAGTATATATTTATATAACAAGTGGTGATCTTTGAGTATTTGTTATCTTTATTTTGTAACATAAATATTCAAATGATATTGCCATTGGAGTTCGAACATAACTTATAACTTAGTTCGAAAATGTATTCACATCACAGACATTGTTTTCGTAAACTCATCATGATTGTGTGTTGCCACGTAATCTCCTCTATTATTTCCGTCTATTTTTAATGAACACTATTATCATACGGACAATTAAAAATACTAATACTTCCGATTGAATAAAATACCGATATCCAGACAATGACAATATACAATACCCATATGTGTCTTAATGACAGAGCGAACACAAAGCCTATCTCTGTACCAGATGGGGTAGAAAATCGCTCGTTAATATCGATCCTATTCTATATAATATAGATATATATTTTACTGCATTATGTATAAATATACTCAGCAATATTAAATAAAAGTGAGAATATAAAATCCTAATGATTTTATTATGTTGTCAACGTGTACTTTACCACCCACATTTATATCCAATAGAATGGGCCTTGTATGTAAACAAAGCGCCATCATAACCTTTAACTAATATACCTTTCCTCTCTCTTCCTTTTCCTTATCTTTTTCCTGCAGGCTTGATGATGTTGAACTAAAACAGGAACACAAAAACAACAACACCAACAACAATAACAATAATAATAATTAGTAGTAGCTGTAGTATTGTTGTTGTTGTTCTTGCTAGTAGTAGTAGTAGTAGTAGTAGTAGTAATAGTAGTAGTAGTAGCAATAGTAGTAGTAGTAGTAGTAGTATTAGCCTCGACAGTAAAATAATAAATAATGTATAAGATTAATATTCATACATACAGACGTGTAAACTAGTGAACTAATATGAGAATGTATTATTACTACCATCTTTAAAAACATGTTAAAAGCAATGAGCTTTTATTCGTGTTGGTATGTTTCAGAAATGAAAAGTATAACCCACTGATTACTACCTGCTCATAGAAAAAGAAACAATTCGTAGATATCAATTCATACTCGTTAATTTATTTAAAGAATGACAGTGCTCGCGATCCTTGCCTTCTTGAAATTCTATTGGTCACATTCAATGTTCAATCACGAATCAATCACTGCAAAGTATTTATTTTAAATGTATTATTAACAATTCATTCCATACATTTTCTTAACAACATAAGCAATCATGTAGTTATCACACTCCGTAATATAATTATGTTATTATTCGTGCATATTTTTCTCGTATTTTCATAAACAGTTTAATATCTACTACTGACTAAAGTTTACACTCTTACTTGGATACTTTATGAATCGTCTAATTATATAAATGCGGCTATATTGTTGGACATTTTATATGTGGTAATTTGAAATTCATTATAATTGTTTATGATTATAGATTTATGTAAAGATTATTATTATTTCCAAATAATCATGTTTCCTTTAAATAAGTTTCAAATATTGTTTTTTTCCCTAAGGAAAGAATGGTGTACTTCCTGTTTGCCATGTTCTTTAATTTAAGTTTAGCAATAAACCTCATCCTGTTGACAACTTAGAATGCTCTAGAAATAAAAATTTTACCCTCCTCATGGTTCTGTAATTGTACCTTAGGCTTTTATATTAGAAATGTTTGTATTAGAATTACTCGTTCCTATTTTAACATACAAAGTGGGGATAAGTCTTTAGTTGTCTTCAGTTTTAATTTAAGAGGATTTGTTTATTTACATTTATTCACAAGAAGTACAAAGTGTTCAATATTATATTCGGATTAAACCGCTTTTTGAGATTATTGTGAATTCAATTAGAGAAACTTTGGATAATATCATTGTGATACACCAAAACTGTTAGTGCATCAACACTATTATTGGCAGATTTACTAGGCAAATATTAGACGTTATGTTTCTAAATAATAAGACCAATACTTATTCATCAATAGTCAAATGTTATGTCTGGAAGTTTCAAAACAGTTATGGTTGAATTAGGGATCCAACAGTTTAAATCTGCATATTATTCTAAAAGCCAAGGAGCAGTATGCTTTGATCCATTAGATGGTTGTGGCGCTCATTTGATTATGTTTATTGTTATGGAATAAGCTCAAGAAGAATTAGATTTTAGACCTGTTGAACTGTGTTTTTGGACATGCTGTTCGTAGATTATTAAAGTGTTTCAAAGAGAAACTTCCTTCAACCGAAGATTGTAAACGTAATCTTGTTGACAGTATCTCTTAAACGTTCAGAAAAGATTTTTTAAAGCAACCCAGGAGATAAGCAGAAATGAAACAAACAGAGCTTGATGAAAAAACAAATGTTTCTGAACTTTTTTTAATATCGTATTTCTAAAGATAAATTTGATAAATGAATATAGAGGTATATAGCATTTTTATTTTTCTTACTCTTTGATTTTCCGTGTCTCATTACATTCAAAATGAGTCAACATATTTATTTGTTAAACATGACAAAAGAACACAAGAACATATTCATTTAGCACTCCTAACACTATTCGTGGTCAAAGTCATTCCAAATATAGATGTATTCTCATATAACTATTTACCTAGTATCTCAAATTGCAGGTAGAGAAGCAATGGAATAATCAAAAGAATATTATTGCCTTCTGGCTGTTTTCAAAATTATTCAAATATCTACTCAAAGGAACAACAAAGCAAATTGGGCATCAAAATAGGATGCTTTCAATTTCGTGTTTGGGAGAAGCTTTTTGTTTTTCTTTTGCTTTTTTTGTCTGTAGTTTTTATGTTCTTGTTGGGTTTTTTAACCTAGTTCTCAGAGTAGGTACTCGATGGTAGAAAGTACTGTGATAACGATGTGAAAGATGTTCCTGCCTGAAGAACGAATGTAAACCTAAAGTTTCCTTAATTTCTCCATGTTTCATTTGTAGAGCTAAATTGAATAAATATGACCACTCCGGTGACCTAAGTGGTTAAAGTGTCTGCTTCAAATGTGGGAGGTCGCAGGTTCGAACCCATGCCGAGAAACACCAACAACGTATAAAAGTAGTACCTTCAGCTGTTTCGCTTAGCGTTCAGCATTAAGCAGGTAGTGTTATGGTTTGTCGGCCTGGTTTTTAGGATATTATGATTGGGAGGATATCCTACGTGTCTGCAGCGTGATGCACAAGTGATTGACATCACTATAAACTGCAACATTGCAAACATCGTAGCGATATGACTGAAGAATTATTAAAGTTATGTCCAAATCACACACACATACACACAAATTGAATAAAATCAAAAGGTATGTATGAAGTATATTTGGTTTAATCTTTGATTTTCCCCGATGTATTGCTTTCAAAATACATTAGTATATTTATTTGTTGACAATGGCAAACGTACACCAAAGTAAATTTATTTATCAGCCCTAGGACTCGTTCCGGTTAAAACTACTTCAAATTTAGATATCGCCCATATTTTGGAATTCTCAAATTAAATGTACAAGATTAATATAAGAATCAAAAGGAATAATCCCAGATTCTCAGTATTGCTTGGAAATTATTCAGATATCGAATCCAGGGTAAAACCATGCAAACCATTCATCAGCAGTGTATCTTTTCAGTGTGCTTTCCGTTTGACTGTTTTAAGTGTGGATTTATATTGTTCTTTTTATTTTATTTACCTACGTAAATACACTAGTTACTTAGGAATAGATAGTACTGCGACCACAAAGCAATATGTGCGTGTCTGAAAAGTTAAGTTTATACTAATTTATGAATCATTAAATTAAAATAAATGATATTAAATCAAACAAATTTTCAATATGTAAAAATCCGTGTCTCTGTAGAAATATCTTTGTGAGAAATATTGTATATATACTCACAGTTTTTGTCCGTCGTCAATCGGATTTTCAGGCTTTGATATCGTTTTCGATAATTCACACTGGAATATATGTGCTGAGAATTCATCAAAAACTTATCACATCATATGTAGGAATATGCTAAGTTTCAGTAAACATTTTCTACAATATTATGGCCTCACGTTAGTTTCCTACATTTAAGATAATATGCAGAGCATAATAAATGAAACAGACACATTGATTTGTACAATAAATAAACTGAAAATCAAAATTATTGTCAAAATGTACAGTAACGCTAAAAAGGTATAAAACAGATCATTTTGCCATCAGGTATGAAGCATACGATTCAGGGTAAAAACAAATTTCTTATAAGCTATTTTACTCCAATCTACGCAATATTCTGGTGAAAAGAGCAAATAAACGTGGGGAATGCAGAACTTCGTATTCATTTTTATCATTATGAGAAACACTTTAAATTTTGAGCTTATCATATCTAAAGGCTTTTTTCCACAGACATTTATTCGAGGTATTCAGCTTAAGTAACATTTTCGTTTGGTAACCAAGTTTGAAAAACTTCATCTCCATCTCCACCATCCCATATTTCAAAAAGTGCCAAACATATTTAAGTATTTATAGACATAACAAATGGTTATGCTTGAGTATATTGTATCTTTATTTGCAACATAAATGTTCAGATGATATTGTAATTGGTGTTTCAAAATAACTGATAAGTTAGATCTAAGATTTATTTACCTTACAGATATTTCGTAAGCTCATCATGAGCATGTATTGCAACATGATCTCAGCTATTATTTCCGTCTGTTTCAAGGAACACTCTTATTTAATACAATCAATGATATTATATGATTCTCGTACGTGTCATAATGGCAGAGAGAGAGAGGACAAAAGCCTATCTTTGTAAAAACATAGGGGGTGGCAAATATCTCTTTTGTATCCAGCTCATTATAAATATTATCTGTTTTACTACATTATGTTAAAATATCTCGGCTATCGGACCATTTTAAATAAAAGCGAGAATACAAAAGCTTAATGAGTTTATAGTTATCACATTTTTATCCAAAAGACTATGCCTTCAATGTAAAAAATGCACTCATAACCCTCACGCAATATACCTCTCCTAGCTGTTCCTTCTCCTTGTCTTCCTCCTTCAGACTTGAACATGTTGAACTGAAAAAACAACAATAAAATCAACAACAACTATAACAATTATTATTATTATTATTATTATTATTATTATTATTATTATTATTATTATTATTATTATTATTATTGACTGCGGCGGTGGACTAGTGTTTAGATCGTTCGCCTTAGATGCTAGAGGTCGAACCAAAGGCTAATGAAAATGGTACTAACATATGCCTCGCTAGGCGCTCAGCATTAGGAGGTTAGTGTTAGAACTAGTCGGCCTGGTGTCACGATAATGTGACTGGGTGGGACATGATGTTACATATCTGCGGCATGATGTCCGAGTGCTAGACATCACTATAAACTGCCTTACTGCAGATATCCTAACGATATGACTGAAAATAATTAAAGCTACCAAACTAAGGACAAAGGAAAACTAATAAAATTTTATTTTAATGTATTATTACTACCATATCAAGGTTAAACAGAATTGAGAATAATGAGTTGTTACTCGTGCTGATTTGCTGTATGAACAAATACTCATTATGGTCTGTTTATATAACAATGTTGTATTTGTAAATATCCATTCCTACTAGTTGTCAATTTTGTTTGACGTTGCACGCAATATTAATTGCTGTCGATATTTTTTAAGCATTATTAATAGTTGTTTGACCTATTACATATTTTACGAATTTTTCCAGTACAAGTTATAACGGATACAAAAGTTTTAAAAGAGCATGTTGCCTAAGCACATACAAGGATCTCTATTAATAGCATTAAAGTACACAATAAGATAACCAATCGAATTGTTTTTCCTATTAGGCAAGGGGGGGATATGTTTTTTTAAAACTTTTGAAAACAGATCATGGTTCATTCAAACAATTTTGAACCATTTATTACTTTCTTGTCCTAGATGCATTTATGTTTAACGCTGCTTGCTGAGTATATTGGTCCAAGAAAAGAAGCAAAGTAATTAATTTCCTACAATTAATAAATGTAATGAAAATACACAAGTTTAACTTAAACTAAGTTACAAAGCCAGTGTATCATTTCCATGACTAGCCATAGAAACTGACAGAATTTATCACTTAAGGGAACAAAATGTATTTATGTGCAAATAATTGCAGGGTGTAAAGTTTAACAATCTATACTTTTTCTGTGTGAAGTTCAAATGAATAAAGTCAAATAGAGTTACAATTTCTTTATGAAAAAGTGGTTTGAGATAGCTTCTGGTAGCTTACAAATAATAAACGATGGAATAAACATTACGAAAGAAATGCAGTTTGTTCCCTATTTGGCACTAAACGACCATCATTGTCCTGAAAAGTGGTCTAAATAGATCAGTGCCAGAATACTTATGTACGGCAACATGCAAATATCGTATGCACTTCATCATGTTACGTAACAAACTTTGGATAGTGAATCAATACATGTGGCCTCTGGAAAACAAAACGAAAAAAATTAAGCAATATTTCTTGCTTGAAATATGGCAATATGGAATTAAATTTAAAAATGCTCTTATCTACCTTAATTCATTGATTGCTTGAAATTTCATCGGAAACTCTTCATTCTGAAATTTACAATTACAAATCTTGATTATTTGTATCACTACATATCAAAGCTGAATCTAAACAAAACTGAAATTTAAATGAATTGGTGTTTATAATTCAGATACATGAAGACGTATCAACTACTATGTCATAAATGGAACTTACAATATATATATATATATATATATATATATATATATATATATATATATAAACTACTATGTCATAAATGGAACTTACAATATATATATATATATCAACTACTATGTCATAAATGGAACTTACAATATATATATATATATCAACTACTATGTCATAAATGGAACTTACAATATATATATATATATCAACTACTATGTCATAAATGGAACTTACAATATATATATATATATCAACTACTATGTCATAAATGGAACTTACAATATATATATATATATCAACTACTATGTCATAAATGGAACTTACAATATATATATATATATATCAACTACTATGTCATAAATGGAACTTACAATATATATATATATATATATATCAACTACTATGTCATAAATGGAACTTACAATATATATATATATATATCAACTACTATGTCATAAATGGAACTTACAATATATATATATATATATCAACTACTATGTCATAAATGGAACTTACAATATATATATATATATCAACTACTATGTCATAAATGGAACTTACAATATATATATATATATCAACTACTATGTCATAAATGGAACTTACAATATATATATATATATCAACTACTATGTCATAAATGGAACTTACAATATATATATATATCAACTACTATGTCATAAATGGAACTTACAATATATATATATATATCAACTACTATGTCATAAATGGAACTTACAATATATATATATATATCAACTACTATGTCATAAATGGAACTTACAATATATATATATATTGGAACTTACAATATATATATATATATCAACTACTATGTCATAAATGGAACTTACAATATATATATATATATCAACTACTATGTCATAAATGGAACTTACAATATATATATATATATATATATATCAACTACTATGTCATAAATGGAACTTACAATATATATATATATATCAACTACTATGTCATAAATGGAACTTACAATATATATACTACTCTGTCATAAATGGAACTTACAATATATATATATATATATCAACTACTATGTCATAAATGGAACTTACAATATATATATATATATCAACTACTATGTCATAAATGGAACTTACAATATATATATATATATATATCAACTACTATGTCATAAATGGAACTTACAATATATATATATATATCAACTACTATGTCATAAATGGAACTTACAATATATATATATATATATATCAACTACTATGTCATAAATGGAACTTACAATATATATATATATATCAACTACTATGTCATAAATGGAACTTACAATATATATATATATATCAACTACTATGTCATAAATGGA